AATCACCCAATGCCATCCCTCCCCCTCCCCCTCCCCGTGATTAGGCCCGGGTATGTGATGTTCCCCTTCCGAGTCCAGTGATCTTTTGTTCAGTTCCACCTATGAGTGAGAACATGCGGTGTTTGGTTTTCTGTTCTTTTGATTAGTTGAAGAATGATTGTTTCGTGGATCATGCCCTACAAAAACCAAAATATTTTTTATGGCCTGATGTTTCGATGGTTATATGTGCCTTTCTTATCGTCCTGGTCCGCGGATGGATTTGTGATTCAGTCTGCTGAAGTATATCGTGTGCAGTGTTTTTAGCAGGCATGATTTATATTTCCTTTGGGTATACCCAGTAATGGGATGGCATGGGATATGGTACTTCTAGGGTTTAGGATCCTTGAGAGTCGGGCCATTACTGTTTTCCAAATGGTTGAATAGGTTTCAGTCCTACAACCCAGGTGTAAAGTGTTCCTGTTTTAACCCTCACAGACTGGTTGTTTTATTAGGATGTTAATGGTTGTAGTGGTCTTATATTTTAATAATTCTTTGATGCACTGATGATGGGAGCATTTTTTACATGTGTCCTTGGATGAATCTTTTGAGAATGGTCTGTTATAGATAGGTTTATATTGAGTATTATTGAGATCTAGCCTTTTGTCAGAATGATAGGATGCAAATTCCATTAGTAACGTGAATAAATACCTGATGTAAATGACGAGTTGATGGGTGCTGACGAGTTGATGGGTGCAGCACACCAACATGGCACAAGTATACATATGTAACAAACATGCACCTTATGCACATGTACCCTAGAACTTAAAGTATAATAATAATAATGAAAAAAAAGAAAGAAAGTTGCTATGCTATTACTTCTTTAAAAACCTTTCTGCCTCTCTTGCTCTGTCTCTCTTTCTCTGTCTCTCTCTCTGTCTCTCACCCTCTTCCTTCACTACCCCTTTTGCCTTATCTTTGCATAACTCCTCAATGCATAAAATTCCATTTTCACTGTGCTTCCTGACTCATAAGTCTTTAACTCTTTTTTATTTCTTTCATTTAAGTTTTTCTTCTCTGTCTCTACTATTTCAAATGATCTTTCTTTGAGTTTCCTATTTCTTTTATCACTTGATCTAGTCTGGTCTAAAATCCTCTTAAAAATTTTGTCTGACTTGTTGTATTCTTCAGCATCAATATTTTTGTTTAGTCATCTTTTAAATGTTTTATCTCTATGAAAATTCTCACATTGTTCTTGCCTGATGCCACTAGCTCATTGAACATGTTTCTAACATTTATTTTAAATTTTCTTCCAGGTAATCCATATGCTTCCTTTTCATTGATGTCAGTTTCTGGATCTTTATGTTGTTCTTCTGTTTGGACCATGTGCCCCTCCTCCTTCATTTTCCTTGACTGTCTTTGTTGCTACCTGAGCCCCCACACACTCTTCAAAGACGAGGCTTATAGAGATCATCCTCACCAATCAGTCCAGGCAGTTGTTTAGATCTCTGAAAACTTCATAGTATTCAAACTTCTGTCTCTATTATTAATGGTCCCTGGGTTTTAGAGGATGATAGATTCTGCCAGAAATCACAGGTAGGGGAGGTAGAAACTATTTACTCAAGCAGCCCCTTGAAAATTTGGACCACTGGACAAAGTTTTGTTATTGATGTATGATTCATCAAGATAATGTTAGTTCAAGCTTCTCTCAACCAGAGAAGTCGAAATTTTATCATTTGTTATTGAAACTTTATCATTTGTTATTTGAATCTGGGGTTTATTCTTTGAGTATTTAGGTAAAATTACAAACTAGTTTAAATCTGCCTATGTGGCAAACTGATCTGTTGCTGAATTTCCATTTTCTGCATTATCTCTTGCATTTAAATCTAAATCTGTATTAAACATGCATCTAGAATGTGAAAAAGTGTCTTAAAGTTCTTTAATTTATTTAATTTAATGGGGTTTCCAGAAGATTTGAAAATCTCCGTTGTTTATAAAACACTTGACTATCGGTCAATACTTTTCTCTTTAATTTTTCTCTCTCCTCTCACATTATCTATAATAAGCAAGGAGAAATGAAGACACACCATCGACAGTTTGCTTAGACATCCCACCACCTAAAATTCTAACTGTCACTTACTAATTCTAACTTCATCCAATGTAACATAACTAAGATAGAAATTCTATAACAAGGTACACATAGTTTCCAGTTCTAATACCACGTTTGTGACAGAAACAAAGCAGGTGTGCTCTCTGCGAGGTGGTCATCTGACGTCTGAGATGAGGGGTCACACAGGTATTTTTATGATATTTAAGGGTTCGGACAACAACAGTAATAACAATTCTGATCATCACTGGCTCTTACCGGAAAGTTTACAGGTAAAGTTACTGCTGTTATTTGATTTTAACACCTAGTTAGAATGAAGCTCAGAGGAAGAGGTCACATCCTAGGTCACACAGTGAGGAGGAATGGAGCTGTGCTCTGCTCTCCACACTACGCACAAGATCCCAGGCACGGGCCCAGGTTCCACTGACATATGGCATCTGGAGGGCAGTTCTCAGGGGATGGTCTTAGCGCACCTGCTTCCTGGGGCAGGGCGCTTCCTTCTCTCAGTTGTGCACTTGCTCCTTCTGCCAGCTCTGAAGTGCATTGCCTGGAATTATTCATATTCTCTCCCTTACTATGGCAAAAAGCATATTTATTAAATTTTCAATTCATTCTCTCTGAAGCACACTGCGTTAGCAGAAAGGAATAAATCATATTCCTTCATCTCCCTCACAGCCCAAGATTCCTGAAGACAGAGCCGATGTGATGTACTCATAGGTGGATCTCTGCTCCACCTGTGAGGAGGTGGCCTTGGTCTTCAAGCTTCAGCAATTCTGGGAAGCCAAGGACAACTCCGTCCCCTCCTCCCTACTCTGCAGCTCACCTGAGAACAGCTTTCTCATTGGAATATCATCTGTTTAAGGAATACAAGTCCCTGCTTTAGGATTTGGGGCCTGAGTGCACCTACTGGATCCAGCCCAGGACTGGAGATACTTTCCAGAACACAACTTCACCTGAGACATGTCCAGTCACACTGTTTTACTTGCACAGTTTCAGCTTCCTCAGCAGAAAATTAAAATTGCTGAGACTTTTTCATAAACGCTGTGCCTTGTCCTTTTTCTATTTCCTTGCCTGTTCATATATTTCAGACCAGGTACCACTTATATGTAATGAGATCAGAATTCTGCCTCCAATAACACATCTGAGGTGACACTTGATTGTACTTTTGGTTTAGGCTCCAAAATGTAGATTATAAAATTCATCAACCTCATTTTTACGTCAAAAGAAATCTGCATAATCTGAATGACAACACTTTTTGGAATCTATTAAATAACTGAAGTAGCAAGAAATCATTTGAAATGCCTGTGGTGTATTTAGGTGTCCTATTAATAATCATTTTAAAAACTAGCTAAAATGTTTTTAGACTTTTATTTTTGGTTCAGGGGTACATGTGCAGGGTTTGTTACACAGGTAAATTGTGAGTTATGTGGGTATGATATACAGATTGTTTTGTCACTAAGGTAATAAGTATAGTGCCTAATGGGTAGTTTTTCAGTTCTCACCCTTTTCCCATCCTCCACACTTGTGAAGGTCCCAATGTGTGTTGTTTTCTTCTTTATGTCAATATGATTAGCTCCCCCATGTAAGTGAAAACAGGTGGTATATAGTTTTCTGTTACTGTTAATTTGCTTAGGATAATGACCTCAAGATCCAACTACGTTGCTACAAATAACATGTTCTTATTCTTGTTTTGACTGTGTTGTATTTCATGCTTAAACATACAGAAATCAATGTGTTGGGAAAAAGCCAAGTGTTGGGAAAGAAGCTGAGGCAGGGCTTGCGTATCTGACATAATATCCAGGGCTCAGGGCACAAAACCCCTCGTGGCCTTTGGAATGTGTCTAGACTTGCTGGCTCCTTGCTTCCAGCCCTCCCAGGCTCCTAGATCAATTGTATTCCCATTATCTCAAGTAGCAGAACATGTTCCATATAAATGCTAAACCATCACAGCTGTAGATCGTGTGCTTGCCCTTTCGACCCCTACATTCTCACCACCTGTTTCTTTGTTTGATCACCAATAAATAGTCTGGGCTTCCAGAGCTCCTGGCCTTCACAGCCTCCACACTCGCGATGGTCTCCTGGTCACACTTTCTCTCTCAAACTGTCTTTTTCTCATTCCTTTGACTCTGCTGGACTTCATAGCCCCAATGACCTGGTGTTGTGCTTGATCACCCCAACATTTCTGGCACCCAATGTGGGGCGACAAAGACCCCGGTGAAGGAACGGCAGAACATGTAAAAGTGGAGACTGCATCATCAAAGGACACCTGATTGTGATTAAAACCATCTCGGAGGGAAAGCTGAGAGCTCAGCAGAACCAGGGTAACAATGGAACAAAGTGAAAGCAAACATTCTGCTTATTTAAATGTCTTAAGGCATTTATTATGAAGAAGGGAAGTGCAAGTTAGTACTCAGAATACGTTATCACTGATTAGTAGAGGAAAGCAGTTTTTGCCCATGGTTCCCGGAACAAGGGACTATGGAGTTGGATGAATGGGAGAGAACTGGCAGATATTTTTTAAAAAGCATATAAAGATGGAGCAAAATTCCAGTCTCAGTTTAGTCAATGTGGGCACTAATAAAGACAGCTTATGAGCCATTTCAAACAGATGATGAGGCAGATTCAGAAGAGAATGAGGAGGACAAGTGTAAAAAAACCATAGATTCTGAATGTGAAGAATAGAAACCAGAGGAAAATAAAAGAGGGAAACTAAAAAAGTATGTTTTAGTAGCCCATCAGCTCCACCTGCTGAATTAAGTGAATGGCCAACTCGTGTCTCTCCCCTTAATGGGCGAGAAAATGTATTAGCTACAAAACTTACTGTTCCTGTAGTTACAACCTCAAAACCTGGAGCAATTGGTGGTGCTACACAAAATTCCATTAAAAAGGCTAGAGCGGACAGACACCTTGAAGCTTGGCAATTCCAGTTTCTCTAATTGAACCACCTTTCCATTTAAACTGTTAAAGGTATTCACGCAGGCCATTAGTCAATATGGGCCAACTCTCCTTTTGTGCAAAGTTTGTGTAAAAATGTGGCTCTTGATAATAGGTTAATACCATATGATTGGGATACTTTGATAGAATCTGTTGTCACTCCATCTCAGTACTTGCAGTTTAAAACCTGGTGGTCTGATGAAGCTCAAACTCGGGCAAGGGAAAATACACAAGAACAGCCACTTGTGCCAGTTTCCTTTGAACAGTCAATGGGAGTCGGCCCTAATTGGGGTGGATTAGAAAATCAAGCAGTAATGGAGAATGTTGCCATTGTTCAGCTGCACTCTGTTGCTTACGGGCATGTGAAAGGATAACTGTTACAGGGGAAAAATATCCTTTCAGTTCTGTCCGACAAGGACCTAAAGAACTATATATTGATTTTTATTGCTCGGCTCCAAGAGGCTGTAAATAAAGCCATAACTGATAAAACAGCTGAAGATGTTGTAATACAGCTTTTTGCATATGATAATGCTAATGCGGAGTGTCAAACGGCTATTAGACCCCTGAGAGGGAAGCCTCACTT